TGATGCATGGGCACATGGGCTGTATCCTGATGGGTCTGCACTGCTTGACATTAAGCAAAAGGAAATGAGTGGGAGTGCCTCTGCTTTGATTGGTCTCACTTAAAAGGCAGCCAAGGTAGCAGTGATCTCCAACTGCTATCATGAGGCAGCTGGTGATTTCGGCTGCTCTTCTGCCTATACATGGAACAGGGTAGCTTTGCACTTGGTGATTGATCTTGATGCAGCAAGCCCTTCTTAGTATATCATTGCTTGCCCATGCAGCTTAGGTGGTGATCCAGCCTCAATGTATTTGGTGATAGCCTCTTTTTGCAATAGAAACTATGTTAATAACTGTAGCTACAAACATACCAACCTTAGCTATGCAGTGTACTTAGTCTGCCTGGATTCTGGTGATTTTCACATGCAGAATACGAGTACTTTTGAAGGTTCAAAACTCTTTAAAGGTTTGATGCCTTATTTTTGTATATGTTTGTTAAAAAAAAAAAGCAGACAATTTTAAACAGGATCTGCAAACTTGAGTTGGCAGACAGCAAGCATTGGTAGCAAGTGACATGCAAGCAAGGAATCCTAGACATGATTTTCTTTGTGACCAGTGACCTGTCCTGTCCATGGAAAGCTGACTGTAGACAGTGAGTGGGAGGAGATGTCATAAATGGAATTGGGCTTGCTGAAGGTCATCTTACTGACACCATTGAAGAGCAAACTTTCCAAAGCATGGGAAAGGCACGGACTCTTCGGTGTAGGATTTGCCAACTAAAAAGAGCAGGCTTAGTGGTCTGAATGGCAACTCCAAGGGACTGCAATCCAGTTTGACTGCCCAGTTCACCTAGTGGCTGCATGCAGGTGTTGAAATGGTCCAGAGTGGGGTGTCTAGGGCAGGGGCGGGCAATTATTTTGGGCGGAGGGCCACTTACTGAGTTTTGGCAAGCCATCGAGGGCCACATGCCAGGCAGCCAGGGGGCAGATAAATATTAATTTTCTACATTTTTTAGGGGTCCCATGGGCCAGACAGAATGGCCTGGCAGGCTGCATCCGGCCCACGGGACTCATTTTAACCACCCGTGGTCTAGGTGCAGAGGCCTCTGGGGGAGGGCAGCAGGGCAAGGAGCCCAATCCCACAGCAGGTGGCAGCCCTCCCCCCATGGGCTCTGCTTCAGCCATGCCACCCGTGGGTGAGGGGGAGCCAAGCTTCATGCTGTGCTCCCTGCTCACGGAGCAGATTTTTCTCATGGTTCATTTCATTGTGATGTAACATCAGAAGGGAACTCCAAGGTCAGCATTTCTCAATCTGTGGGTCGCAAGAATACATGAAAGGGACATGAAGGAACTTTAGAAATGGATTGTCCCTTAAAGGAAAGAAATGCAGGAAATGATGGCTTTTCCCTTGCAGGCTGGCAGAGTGCCAGCCTGCAAGGGGCTGTTTTCTAGGTCAGGGGTCGGCAACCCCTGGCATGCATGCCAAGCGTGGCATGAGAGGCCATTTTGCTTGGCACACCATGGCGCAGCTGTTTGGAGCCTCCTGGCTGCAGCTGGTCCTGGCTCTGGGGAGCTGCTGGCAGCCGTTTTCACCGGATGCTGCCAGC